GTTTGGGGGGGGGGGGGGGGGGATTTTGCGAGGAATGAAAATAGCTCATAGAGCCGTTATATTTGGTTGAAAAGCGCGGGTTCAGAAGCGAGTTAGTTAGTGACGGCTATCGGTTGGATAGGATAGGATGGGCTGATTGGAATGGGGAGGACCAAATTGGGCTTCCTTTTTTTTAATATTTATAACATTAAAACACATGCAGGAGCCTATGAGGCCTTGAACTCCCAGAATACAAAGACAAGTTACAGCAGTTTACCACTCTAGTCATTCACAAAGCAAAAGCCATTAAAAAGGAGATTTAGACTTTTTGGCAAGCAATCCACCTACAGCATTGAAGCGGGTGGAGTTTTTGAAGATAAGTTAACAAACTCCAGGGCCTGTGCTCGCACTTCAGCTGGGTAGTCTGCAATACTACCAATTCTCGGGCCAGCTCCAGTTGACCACTTGTTAAGATCGAACATAGTTGCCTCAAGACCCTCCGACAATGTCCTTTTGTCTTCATCTCTGGTTTCCTTCTCAACTTCTTGTAGTTTAGAATCCTTCTCTTCATGGCGAGTTCTCATCGTAGGAGGAGGCTCTAAGTTAATCTTGGCAACTTCCATCATCTTACCGCTCCCACTTCCACTCAGTTTGGCTGCATAATCGCTGGCGCTGGAATATTCAATAGCCTGGTTTACCTGCAAAAAGAACAGAGATGCCAGAAACATAACACAAGAAAAAATAATTTGCTGCCATGGATAACAGCCCAAGCCTTACAGTAAAGTTACCTGGACTTCATCAAGATTCACTCCATTGTCCTTGAAAAATGATAGAAAGCTCTCAAATTTTTCTTGTGTTGGTCGGTAATGTCCACTCATTGGAGAAATGAACTGCAGAGTTAAAATCAATGAAGAAAACATCCCAAGTATTCGTCAACAGAATCTCCCAAAAATGAAAAATAATTTCACAAAAATCTTTCAAATAAAATTCCTCAAAAAAATTTTATAATAAAATCACTCAAATATATATATATATATATATATATATATATATATATATATATATATATATATATATATATATATATATATATATATATATATATATAGCAACATGTCTCAAGGACTTCACTGATAAAAGTTTTTCAACCATGCCTAAAACACTACCAAAAATCCATGAAAACTAGAGAGGTTTTCTGCAGGGTCAAGCTATCAAACTTTGTACCATGGTTCTTAAACCCAACTCAAGAATCGACCTGGGTCATGGGTCAAGTTTAGATCTTGGATCACCTAGTCATGAGTCAACCCACATAATTAGATCGGGTCAACTTTCATCGCACCAATAATCCAATACGCGGTAAAGCTAAAAAGAAATGGATGCTAGAATTTAATAGGGACAATGATACTGACTTCAGTATTTCTTAAATCGACCTGTATACAATGTGTAGAAAATCCAATGCCCATGCTCCATTGGGGCAACATTATATGTCTAAGAGGATTTTTTATTAGAGAATATATTATAAAACTATTCTTAAAACCTATATTTTTTGTGGATTGATTGATAAGGTGTCAGAATTTTACTGATTAAGTTGTCAATAATTCATAAATTTTAAATTCAAAAAGCTTTTAACACGATGATTTTAAGTTAAGATGATTTTCTGGCTTTGACATACCTTAAGATTTCCATTCTCTATGATCACCGTTCCAGCAGCTATAGTAGCACCTCCCGCCAGGAAACTCGAATGATGGAACTTGCCCCTCTTTTTCTGCAAGCAGCAAAAAATGCATCAAAACGTTTATGAATATACAAGAAACAGTAGAGTTAAAGAGAAAACTATAGCTATATCAATTGTTTCTACACAATTTATGACCTCTCACCTGTCCAGCATACAGTCTCTTAGTGGGACTCAAAACAAATATCCACTTTCCCTTTGTATCAACAAGATTTCTGGACTGTTTGTGAAAAAACTTCCCTTCAATGATCATGCATTCATATTGTTCTCTTTCTTTCTGATTCACAGAAAGAAATAGATGGCAGACTGTTAGGAACTTCAAAAAAAAAAAAGAATCTATGACTCAATCTATAATTATGCTGATAATAAAAAATTGCATACAGGTCCTAGATACTTTATGCTGTTTTCTTGAAGCTTTGACCTAGGACATTCTTCAACTTCAACCTCTTTGCCATCTCCTACATCCAACCTAAAAGAGTAGCAAGCTTGAAATCCAAAATGCCTTATGAAAGAAATTGTAAAGATGAAATAAAAAAAAAGAAAAACTTCCAATATCAGAAGATGGAAAGGAAAGGTACATCACCAGTAAAAAAAAGGCTGACTGGAGTTTGTCTCGGACCATTTCTTAAAATACATATACAAGAATGCCCCGTAACGATGCCTTGGATCAATCTAAATTAATGTACAGTTATTTAAAAAAGATAAAAATAAATCACAATATCAGATTTCAACAAAATTATTGCAAATTAATATTAATAATCCAAATGATAGAATAATTATGAAGAAAAAAAATGGAAAACGGGCAGTGCGAAGAGGATGTAATTACAGCTTCAATCCAATGTTCGAAATACAATTTCTCTGATTCTGCGTTTTTGCTGAGGCCCTTGCCCACCTGCCATAAAATAGTCCAAATTTCCATGAATTAAACATAGCATATCTTCTTTTTTTCTTTTTTGGTAGCATAAAACTATATATATTGTAAAACAAAATAGCAACTAAAAACCTTGTTCATTTTTTATTAATTGATTAACAGCCTTGTTCATTTTCGTAACCATTATAAATTTAACAGGTTAATTTATATTAATAAAAATAAATTTATTTTTAAAATAAAATAAAAAGTTAAAAAAAGATTTAATCAGATTATGGGTTTACTTGTAAAATCACCTGAATTTAAACAGATCAATCCTCACTCGTCTCTCTTGTTTTTTTAAAACTCAATTCATTCTAAGTTTTATGCCAATCAAGATCGTAAGGTGATTTATTTTACAATCCAGGTTTAATAACTATGCATAATTCAATATTCATTACATCTCGTGGGTCACCATTAAAGATTGTTGAGTCCACGACTACCCAATTCAAGATTGTTAATGTTCATCACCATGCTTGGTGTTTATTGCATCATTGGTCGAAAAATAAAAACTTGTTAGAATTTCCTTGTCCTCAACAAACAAAAAGACAACTTCTGATAACACATAATCGATGAGGAGAGACTATAGAGAGACCTTAGAAGCATGAGATCCAACACGTTTCCACCTTGAAGCAGCACTCTCTGATTCCGAGTTTTTGAAGAAGGAAACCGTTTTTTCATTCAAGGCAGCATGGTATATTGCTTGCCACCTTTATTTAATTAAAATCAATACAAACCACAAATGTTAATTATTGTCCAGTAAAATTTAGCCTTAATTCTAGTACATCACATAAAATATCAGAAAAACACCAGAAACTAAGTTTTTGATGGACTTACCACAGCTCTTGAGCAACGACGGCAGAGTCTGCTAACCTGCGGCGAGTGCGATAACCCCTGTACATCTGTTGCACCTTCACCACTGCAACAATCTCATTAAACATCTTGTGGTTCCTCCCCTTTAGGGATCCCTCACATTTTGCAGACATATCAGCACATTGCGATTTCAGAGTGTCCATGGATTATGTGTTTTTGTTTGTGTGGTGAGATGTTTATCTATTATTATTTTAAAAAGCTTCGTAGTTTATCCTGGACAGGTATTCCTTCTAGCATTGAATGTTTTTTAAAATATTTTTATTGAAAATATATTAAAATAATATATTAAATGTAAAGTTTTCTGTATTGGTGCTTGAAGCCCAATTTAAGTGCCATACGCTGACAGCTAGTAAGTTGTTGGATGTCCTAACGCTTTGATGGTGGTGTCTGTGGTGGGGAGGAGCAGCAGGATATTTTGGACCTCATGTCCCTTCTTCTTCTTCATCTTCTTTTTGTTTTTTATGATTTTGTTCTAAAACAGCCAGTGGTTTAGGATTCTTCTCACATAATTAACAGAAACTAAAGGACGACTTTTTTTTCTTTTTTTTATTTAATTTTATTTTTTAATATTAAAGTTATTATGCATATATTTATAATTTATTTTAGTTTAATTTCTAAAAAATTATTTTAATCTCATGAATCATATCATAATTTCTATGGGTTAACCCGGTTAACTCGGGTTTTTTTATAATTGATTTTTTATTTAATTTTATCATTCAATATTAGATTAATTAACAATTAAATTTTAAAATGTTTTTTGATATATTTTCTACAAGATTATCAAGGTCTTACAACACGCTTCGTAGATTTTACATGTTAACCTGAGTTGACTCAATTGATTTTATATGTTGTTATTTTAATATCTTAGAATTTTTTTAGTCAAATTATGTTTTTTCTAGTTGTTTTTAGATTTACCAAGTTAAATGGGATATATTATGTTAATTCATATATGATTTATTTTTTTCATGAAAATACATTAGTAATATCTAAATATTTTTTTATTTTTTAAAAAATAAATAAACCTGCAATATAAAGCAGATAAATGATCTAATTCTTGTATCAATATTATTTAAAAATATATTAATTTAATTTTTCACTAAAAAAATCACTTTAAAAACACATAAATCAATATCTTAATTCGTGTTTTTCATATATATTAAATTATCATATTTCATCAATCAACGCAGGGGAAGTAGAGATATGTCAAACTTTTATAGGGACCAAAAAGAAGTTTTGTTATTAAGTATCAAAATAAAAAAATTAGTTTTTTTCAGAGAAGAGGAACAAGTTAAGGGGGATATAGCCACTTTTCTATCTCTAAAAGATTAATTTGTTAAGAAAGAAATATTTTTAAGAAAAAAGATTAAACTTTTCATCTTTTACAGGGATTAAATTGAAATTATCTAAAGAAAAAGAGTTAAATATCATCACCAAAAAAAAACAAATAGAATTAAATATGCAATGTATACTACAAAAGGCAAAACGACAAACTTTTTGAAAGGCAACCAAACGATTTATATTCTCCACGTTGTGAACGTGGATTAGATCACCATCTGATGTGACTCATTAACAAAACAATTATTATTATTATAGAAATCCACGTATGAAAATCTTTATTATGATCTCTTTTTCTTTTTTTTCTGTCGTATCACTGCGAGGGGCAGCTTTCTTGTGTGCATTAATTTTAAACTATTAAATTCATGTGGGGCAGCTTTCTTGGGTTTTGTTTGGATTGGAGGAGAGGTTTGCGTATGATTATTTATCTGTATTATTTATTTATTTATTTATTACAAAGTCTTGATTAGCGAAATCAATAATGGTTACTTTTACCTTCTTTACCTTTGCATATCATTTCCTTGCTTTGTTTAATGATTTTTTAAATATTATAAATTTATTTAAATTTCATAATGGTGTGTGCAACACATAATATGCGTGTGTGTAGGATATAAATTATGTTTTACTTAACAATTAGAATAAAATTAATGCATATCACACAGAAGCATGTTACATGCATTGTATTAGAATAGATTTGTTAAATTATAGCATGACATTTAAAAGCTCAATGATATACATCATGGCATTCATATTATGTCAAATCAATATTTTATTATTAACATATAACGCATTAAATAATTAACATTAATGTTTAATTTTTATGTTATCATTAAAATATAATTAAATCATTACCATGGTCATAAGGCTAACACGCACTCTCTCTCACACATGTATATTAAAGTTGTCAATTTTATTTCATTTCATTTAAAATAACTAATATATCTTATATTATTTTTTTAAAATCAAATAGAAACAAAATTTATATTGTTTTGAATTTCAGGCCATTTAAAATTCCTTAGTCAAAATACAACCCATTTAAAATTTTTTAGTCAAATTAAAGCCAAAATATTTTAGTATCATTCTATTCATTCCATCTTGTATAGTAGTGTATTTTTTAATATATGTTTTTTTCTTTAATTTTATCATTCAATTTTTAGTTTATTTGATATTAAACTTTATCATTTATTGTTATTTGCTTTCTTCGTGATTATTTTAGTCTCATGACTTATTTTACAGATTTAACAGGTTAATTTTATTGACTTAATTTTTATTTTATTTTTTAATTAACTTTTTTTTCCAGTTTTATCATTCAAAATCTTTAATAGTAGGTTAATTATGAATTAAATTTTATCATTTTTTTTGTGAAGTTATTCTAGTTGTATAACTTAAATTATAAGTTTTGTAAGTTAACTCGAGTAAACTTAAATTTTTTTATTATTTTTTTTTATTAATTTTTTTAATTTCATCATTTAACAATAAATTTATTAAAAATTAAAATTTATAATTTTTTTTAATTTGATTTATATGAAGTATCATGACTATAAAATCGAACTTACATATTTAAAAAATTAATCTGAGTTAGCTTGAGTTAATTTAATATATTATTATTTTAATATTTTAAATAAAAAATTATCTTGAATTCTTTATAATATTTTTAAGATGTAGATTATTATTATAAAAGTTTTATGTTAATATCTAAAAAAGAAGAAGATATTTTGCACTTCTTTATAAAATAAAAATAATTAATATTCCCGATTCTATTTATTTTTAGCTCGAAAAAGTACTGCTGCAAGGAAATTGACATAGCCAGTGCAAATACAGCTTTAATCATGTCGGTGGCAGAAAAAAAAAGGTAAACAAAATATTCGACCATGCGAGGCGCTCTCCTGTTCCCGACCCATTGGGGGACCATCGGGCTGAGATGAGGGCCGTTACGAACGTGAAAGCATTAGGCGTTGAAATCATTATGTCAGAACCAGGTGTGATCCATTAATTCAAGGGCCGTTTCGAACGCCTGGCGTTACAATATGAGTTTCTTTAAATTTTGATTTTTTTTATTATTTAAAATTAATTTTTTTATATTTTTCAATTATTTTAATATATTCATATCAAAAATATTTTTTAATAATACATTTTTAAACAAATTGTTTTAAAAATAACTACTACTATACTTCCAGACCCTCTATATAACTTTGTATTACTTTATATTGTGTTTGAAACTACATTTATATGTATTTAAAAATATATTTAATTTAAAAAAATATCAAGTTTGTTTTTTAATATTTTTTTAATAATTTTAATAATCTAATGTTAAAAATAAATAAATAAATAAAATTAATTTAATATATTTTTAAATAAAAAAACACTTTACATCACATTATCAAATATACATTTTGATCATTTTGCTTCAAATTAATTTCTTTTTACTTTTCAAATTGTTTTGATATGCTAATATCAAAATAATAATAAAAAATATTTTAAAAAACTAATCACTATTAACTAAAAATTAAATTTTACTTCAAATTATTATTTTTTTAAATATAACACAACATAAAAAAACAACAAAATTACGGATGTGTTCGAGTTGGATGCTTTTCTTGTGTTGCTAGCTTTTGACTATGATGATATCCATATTGCTTACACATGAGGCCTCTTTCTACACTCGCACACACAACCGAAATAATTAGATTTTGATGCCCTAGAGCTTCATTCCACCACAGGTTTATCCGGATATAACAACGTTGACACCGGCCACAAAAATTTCAGCACATAAAAGTTATGCAATCTCAATGCATTTCACGCATAAAGGGTTGGTGAAGTTCCAAACACAGCAACAGTGTCATAGATCTAATGAAGAGGAACATATCAAGCATAGCTACAGAAAAGCTTCTGAAGCAGAGGTGAAGAAAATCTAAAACTTCCAACAAGGTAAACTATCAACAATTGCACTTCCGCAACTTCAATATTTGCGAAATTTGATCTGCGCTTGCTGCCTAGAGAAAAGCTGCAACTATGCTTCAGTCAGATTTGGATTTCCTTAACCCAATGGGCCTGCTGGGTAAAGCCATACTGGATTCAGTCAACGCATTTAGTGTCATGGATATGCAAGAACTCCATAGCATAAAAGTAGAGTAAAAGGTATAGATATATAATGCACGGTGCAATGTTCAGAATAAAATGCATTATAAAATCCAAAACACGAGCAAAATTAGTTCGGCAAGGAAATTTGAATATTCACAAAACCTTACAAGCATTCGACAGACTACAGTAGCACAGACAACAGAACTGCATATAATTAGAAATGCATTTTCCCAAAATGTATTGGTAATTGAAGAGGCTGCAACAAACAAAAGGTGGAACACTAACTTGCTAGATCAAAAGGGCAGGTTTCTTTAAATAAGCTGACAAGTACGATCCCTACCATGTTTCACAACTTATAGTAGAACAATAGAAAGCCAGATTGCACACAACAGTTTCTGCTGGCACAACATGTGGAGGTGTTTAGAATAGAACTTTCATAAACAAACCAAGTAGGAGAGGCAAATCAGCCAACAACAGTGGAAAACAAACTAAAATTTCTCTTGCTAACAGGGCAACATGAATGAAACAACCGAAACAACTTAAACTCAATCAAAACGCATGTTTGGTCAGGAACACACAGGCTTTAACAAGAGGAAATCACTAAAGTACAGTGGACGCTTAGACAACAAGTTCCATCTTTAGCACATAATTGTGTTTGAGACAGAGCTCTCCACTCCTCTACAAATGGTACCCAAATTTCTACAACTCATCAAGTCAGGGAGGGCAAAAAAAATACAAGTGGTTCGCTGCATTTTGAATTTCAATACAAAAAGAAAAAATCCGATCAACAAACAAGCAGACATCATATTACCTTACATTGCATTCTACCGAAATCATTACAAAACCATTACCCAACTACGGTTTAGCTACCGGAGCACTAGAATTTGGCAGTGAAGATGAAACAGGTTCTCTCCGGAGTTCTTTCACAACAGCAGCAAGTGCTTCTGGGTTCAAACCCAAATCACAAAGGGCAATAAGAACCGAAAGGGTGTGTCGATCAAGTCCTGTATCAAGAAGGTTTGACATGTGAAATGCCAAATTCAAAGAGTCTCTTGCAGTCTTTGCAGCCTCTGGATCCATGACAGCAACAATTTTTACAATATCTGAAAAGTGAAAATTCCTTCTTGTGATCTCAACTCCAATATCCAGCACTTCATTCAAAATAAAATGAATAAAAAGATTAAACCCATGATTTATAAACTAAATATCACGCCAATAGCCCTAACAAAAATTCGAATCTTCCTAAACTGCGAAAAAGATTACAGAAAACATGAAAATAAGAACCTGAAAAAATGAAGTCTTTGAAGATAAATCTGACGTTTGCTTCAATTTAAGAATACCCTTTTCCGTTTCTAGTCAAATGGGTTCGATCGAAGTGAATTTGAGAGAGAATCAGATGAGAATGGAGTGAAGGATCCCTGCGAAGGAGGGAGAGGGAGAGTCATCGGTTGCTTCTATTGGCAAGCCCATGAAACTACTCAAAGATTTCATAGTAGCCCAATGGGCTTTGTTGACACCCTTTACCATTTGTCAATGACTTATTTTCTCCAATTTACAACTTCCTTTTTTTTAAAAAAAAAAAAAAATCTAAGGTAAGCACATTCGAAATTTGGATCAAAATTTTAATGCAAGAATGAATTTTTTTTTTTCTGGAGAAGAAGCTTCACTACATTTCAACAAGAAAAATGTGCAAAAAGAGTTACAAACCGGACCTTGTGCCTCCACCCTCTAGGATTTTTGTTCATTCTTTTGTTTTTGTTTTTATCCTTTTTTTAAATATAATTTCCTTCTTGTTATGGAGGGAATTTTAATGTAAGCAAATGAAAGTTTTAAAATCTCTGTTTAATTCTATGCTTTAATTATGTTATATATTACTAATCAATTCCCATTATAGTTTTAATATGTATTTTTGATCATATGCTATATTTTCTTCACCATATAGTTGAACAACATGATCCACGGATCCTAGAGATACCTGCCACAAAGATACAGGCAAGTGAACAAGCTTTCATCTCTTCTTACAAATGGCAAACGAGACTGTGAATGACAACAACAAAAAGTTAAAATTATACAGTGGAGATCAGGATTCATTTATCCCATTTACCGGCGGGACTTTGGAGGATGGTTTGATACGAGGATAAACAGGCTAGCCATGTTGGCCTGACTTGTGATCCATGTTTTGATTTGTCTAAGATCATTGGATCTCAGGATGGCATAAAGGCTTAAGGAATTGACTGTTAACACCGCTTTCAATTTTTGAATGCTGCCACATAAAATATGAATCGATCCCTCCTGAAAAACCTAGTTAAGCCTACAGTAAGCTTTTAGCCCAGTAGACATTTTGGGTGAAGCAAGCAAGATCATAGAACTGCTTATAAATACAATCTCCTGGATTATCTACTTCCAAATCTCAACCAATTAATCGGTTGATGTCCTGAAGTATTTATCCTGCTTAATGGTCAATTCAAGGAAAAAACCAATTAATGGTGCCCGAACATATTCTTGGGAGGTTTTCCAAGGACGGCACTTTGTCTTTGGGCAAGCTTATGAAAAGCATGAGTTAATTCACGTGGCTGTTAATTCTTGTAATGTTTTGATGTCATATATTATTTGACCGTGTAAGTCTAACTTTTTCCCTGAAAATGTTTTGGATAAGGTTTCGATGATTTCCATGCTATAAGTAGAAGTGAAGTTGCAAAACTTCGATATAAATCACAGAATGCAGGCGTTATTTTAATCATTGCGGCTCTCTTTCTTAGCAACATGGGGGCTCAGTCATGGATAATTATGGTAGTGATATCAGCAACTTTCATGCAATTATGCAGAGCTGTAGATGATAAACTCCTGAGTTTGCCAGGACAACCAAGAGTCAGTTTCCAGCAATATGCAGGATATGAAACCGTAGATGAAAATCAAGACAGAGCTCTTTTCTATTACTTTGTCGAAGCAGAATCAGACCCAGCTTCAAAGCCTCTAGTGCTCTGGTTAAATTGGGGGTGCTTCAAATTTTCTTTTGTTTTGTGTTTTTCTCCTACACCAGAATTGTTTTTAACTGCCGTTATATTGTTTGTTCCATTCCTTCTTTAGGGCCTGGTTGTTCTTCTGTTGGAGCAGGAGCTTTCTCTGAGAATGGCCCTTTCAGACCAAGTGGTGGAGAGAGTCTTGTTAGAAATGATTACAGTTGGAACAAAGGTTGTTCCACATGACATTGTACGTTTTCTGTTAGAGTTAGCAGGAGGTTTCCTTCTGTTTTACAGATTGAAAGACTTGCTGAAAGTTACCTTTCCTCTTTTCTGCAGAAGCAAATATGCTGTACCTGGAATCGCCAGCAAGGGTTGGTTTCTCTTATTCTGCCAATCAATCTTTCTATAACTTGGTGAACGACACTATCACAGGTTTAACACATTTCCTGCTCTAGCGGGTAGCTGTTCTTGCTTTAGTCAATACAAATTTTTATTATCTAATTCAAATCATGAGCTATTTACATTTTTTTGCTGCTTTCTCTTCAGCACAAGAAAATTTTGTATTCCTACAGAATTGGTTCCTGAAATTTCCTGAGTACAAGAATAGGGATTTGTTTATCACAGGAGAGAGCTACGCAGGTGTGTTTAATTCAATGAAAACAGCGCATCACGAAATATTTTGACAGGGATAAGGATAAAGCTTGAGACTGTTGGTCTAATGTATCAGCGATCTTGAACTCTGTTCCTTGACAGGACACTATATACCACAACTTGCTTACCTCATTGTGAAATCAGGACTAAAATTCAATTTGAAGGGCATAGCTGTGAGAAGTGCAACATAGAATTCCGAATTCTTATATTAGTTTCTCTACCGTTGTATTTTCTAGTGATATTCATTGGCCTCTTAAGATCTGATTTTTGGCATTTCAGCTAGGAAACCCTCTATTGGAGTTCGGTACAGATTTTAACTCGGAAGGTGACTTCTATTGGTCTCATGGGTTGATATCAAACCCTACTTATGAACTTCTCAGTGCAGTTTGTAACACTTCACAACTCTGGCGAGAGCGTCTAGGAGCCTCACTTACGGCTTCTTGTTTGGAAGTGGTAGATCAACTTAATGCAGAAATTCCGGACGCTATTGATAAATATGATGTCACTGCAAATGTTCGTCTATCGTCTGGTGAATCAGAAACGCTGTTGGGAGTTCATAATCTTCCATTATCACCAAGGTTCCAGTCTTTCTCATCAGGTCAATCACTACAGGATGCTCTCAGTCAGCCTGTACGCTCTTTAGGGCATAGCAATTCGTCTAAAACCATTACAGCTCTCCTTTGGACTTATTATTGGATTTTGCTTCCCCTTATGCAGAAATCTGGAGAGAATACTGGTCTTTGTGCAGGAGATAAAACTTTTCAATATTTGAACAGGAAAGATGTGCAAGAAACTCTTCATGCCAAGCTTGTCGGAACTCCACAATGGACTTTGTGCAGTAGGTAATTAACAATTCCTACTCTTCTTCTCTGTAGTTTCTTATTACTTTGTATTACCAATACAGGATCACACTTGTTCTGATTTATTGCTTCATTTTAGAGTTACACACTATGATCTCCGAAACCTAGAGATACCAACAATTGATGTGGTGGGCTCATTAGTCAGCTCAGGCATCCGGGTTCTAGTATACTGGTACATGAACCAGCCTTTTCATCTCTTTTTTACCAACTAGCAAACGAGACTGCCAATGTTAATGACACAAACTTGAAACACGGTGGATATCAGATTCTGTTATCCCATTTACGAGGAGTAGGAATTTGGTGGAAGGCTTGGCAAAAAAGCTGGGATTGAACGCAACTGTGCCCTATACAGCTTGGTTTGAGGGTGAACAGGTTAGCCTGTTGCTGCCGGTTAAGATAAACCAAGTTACATACCATCAAGAAGTAAATATGGTTTTGGTTCCTGATCTCATGCTCTTAAATTTTTGTTCTCAGGTTGGAGGATGGACACAAGTCTATGGTGACATCCTGACATTTACCACCATTAGAAGAGGCTCTCATATGGCACCATTTTCATCACCAGCAAGATCACTGGCACTATTTGCAGCATTTCTATCTGGGAAGCGTCGACATAAATTTTTGTTAATAAAACTATCAAATCTAGCAGTGGTAATCTTGTAGTGGTAGTTCTATTTTTCTTTTCAGGATGAAACGTTGCTTCAAATTTACGGGCATGTATTTGAAGCTACGTTTCATCCTGAAAAGAAAATAGAACTACTTTAATAGTTTTATTAACAAAAATTTATATGCGATATTTACACTAACATTTAAATTTTTTTTGCAATCTTTCATCTGTAAATGTTAGGATTTGAGAGTGGAAAATGTAAACTAGAAAATTGTTTATTGAATAATCTATAAAGATTGCAATAAATCTTGCATGAAACGGTCGTTTACTCCAAGGCGCCATCTCTTTTGTTTTTATAACATGCTGTATTTTAAAATTCATTTGCATGTAACGCAGGCATGCACTCATAAGGTTTGATCTTGATGATTTTTTAAATAGGATTATTTTTAAAACTAATTTGTGCATATAATACAATGTTAAAATTCGAAAATTGGAAATTTTTGCTCTGACCACTGGCAGCTTTTCCTTAAACTCTTGAACCGAACATGTCTTTTGGTATAAGAAAGAACACCTTTCCTTGTTCTGCAGAAGCAAACATACTATTCCTACGGGGTTGATTTCTCTTATCCTACCAATCAATCATTTATAAGTTTCTTTGGACCGCCTTTCTGCCTGTGGTTAATCAATAAATATTTGATGCAGCAAATAATTGGAGCCTATTCTCCTTTGGTAACACAAGATTTATTAGAAAATCATATAACTTATATTTTTTAGACTTAACCTAATAATTTAATTAAGTTTTAGGATGAGATTATTATTTGACACGATATTCAAGCTTTATTGATTAAATGATCACGGGTTTGAATTTTCAAGCTTGAAAAGCTTTTACTTGAGAAAAGATGTTAAAAAATTATATAAATCATATATTAGAAAGCTTTATTGATTAAATAATCACGAAGCTTTTACTTGAGAAAAGATATTAAAAAATTATATAAATCATATATTAGTATTTCACCTAATAACTTGAAAATAACAGAATTAGATTCTGAACTCTTATAAAAATTATAAGTCTATGTTTTTTTCTTCTAGAAAGGTAAACAATCCATGAAATTGAATTGTATAACTCTAGTTATAATCTGAAAATTAATCGGTGTCCTAACTTGACTAAAATAGATGAATTACAATTTGATCTTTAAACTCAATCTCTTATCTATCTCTTCATATGAACTCATTTTCAATATAATTCAATACTTAAAAACATGAAAATACCATGAATTTTTAAGAATTAAATAAATACCAAAAATACCATGAATTATAGATAAACAAAGTAAAAAACATACTAAATACTCTGAACCAAAACAATTAAAACTAAAAAAATATGTGAAATAAATTTTCTTATCCAATATCTAAAATAAATTTTCTTATCAAATACCCTCAAATTAACTTGAATATTTGCTTATCCTAAAAAAAATAAAATAAAACAAAGAACCACGATCATATTTAAGCTCAATTTATCACACCCAATATATCTATCATACAAACATCCCAGTTCAACTTAGTATATAAGCAATAACAAATTAAAAAAAATTATGCATACCCATTTTCTCATGTTAGTTAAAGTATCTTTATATAATTTCAAACTTAATTATATTTATAATGCAACCAACATAATTAATCATGCAAAACTTATCTTATAGTCCCCTTTTTTCACTGCTATAAACAAGATAGCAAGCTAAAAAGATATTTATTCATTTACTTTTGTATTTTGTTTTTTTTCCAATTCTTTTTATCTTTAAAATATCACTTGTTTTTTATACAAATATAAATATTTGTGATGAGTGCACCCAATTACTTAACAAGTTACATATATAAAGTGTTTTATATTTATATTTCAAGCTATTGTTTGATATAAAAATAAATATTTATAATAAATACCCTTGATCACTAAACAATTCAAAATATTAAGATAGATAAAACTTTATATGTATTTGTTCATTTAATTATCTAATTATTATTATTTTATTTTTTAAAATCTTATTTAAGACTCGACCAAAGAAATAATCACAAGAAAAACATTACTCATGCATAGTCACGTAACTTGCATAACTTTGCAAGAAAAGGTGTATTTCAATAATTTCCGAAAAAAACAAGTATATGTAATCTTGGTTTAGAAAATATTATCTATTCTAAATATTAGCATAATAAAGAGCCTAAGAGTGTAAAGATCATCCTAAATACATGCCACACCCATAAAAATGCAAGTTCACTTTTCGTATCTCTCATTAAAAAAAAAAAAGAAGAATAAACATAGCCGACACTGGCATTAAACTAAAAAATAAAAATGAATAAACATAGCCGACACTGGCATTAAACATAACTGGATATCCACTCCCCCAAACTTAAATTTGAATTGTCCTCGATGTGAAATGAAAAAGGAAGAAAGGATGAGTACTTCCCTTTTTAGCAAGCTAGTCACCATGAAGGTATGATTGCGTTGAACATAAACTTGTATCTTGCCCATTTGTTTTTTAACCCGCGCACACAACTAAAAGAAAAGGAGAGTTAAGGGTTTGTGGGTTTTATTTTTATTTTTATGTTGGGTTGCTTCCCAACAGGGCTTAGTTATAGTCAATAGAATGATTATTTCTTTCATTTAATTTGGATCAAGGAGGATGTCATTCCTCTTGCTGACAAGTTCCTCACTCACATAGTACTTCAAACTGTGACCATTCATTGTGAATAACCCTTTTGAGTGACTTTCATTGTTCCATGTGGACAAACTTTAGCAACAGTGAAAGGACAAGACCACTGTGGTTTTAGTTTTCCTGGAAATAAGTGAATTCGTGAATTGAACAACAAAACTTGATGTCCAGGTTGGAACTCTTTCCTGTTATATGTTGATCGTGCTACTTCTTGGTTCTTTCCTTGTAGATTTTTGCATTTTGATAAGCTTCATTACATAACTCATCCAACGGCTCCTTTTGTTGATTTAAACCCTTCGATGAACCAAGTAATCAATTGCAGGGATCCTAAAACAACTCTCACCGAGTCACCAGTATAGGATGCTTGATGGCTCTAAAACTTTAAAGATAACCTCTTCCTCATTCACCCTCAACTGCAATTCTTTTTTTTTTTGAATAATTTCTCGATGCCTCGAGATCTTCATATACATGCTATCTAGATCATTTGCAAATCAAATCAAATCAATTTTTTAAGAATCAAATTAGAAGGCAAAGAAAATGAGGCATCAAAGTGTAAAACATTAGATGAATCACTGTGCAAATCCACACTGATTCTCCTCTCAGTGTACAGTGAAACACTGGTGAGGATCAGTTCTTCTTCTTCTTCTTTTTTTAATTTAATCCTAATTGTTTGAGGGTTTGCTTGACTAGTATGCCTTAATTAACAAATGAACCATTTGCAATATACCTGGGAAGGTTAATGGCCCTAGCAGCAGCGGCGGAGGTAAGATTATTTAACAGGGGGGCCAAAATAATATAAAAAAATATTTATTTTTAATTTACTATATATAAATTGTAACAATAAAAAAATTTACATAATTTAGTTTTATTCAATAAGAGCCAATTGTAATTGATGACCTAAGCAATGTACATAATATGCATAAGGGCAATTATTAATGAATAAAGCTGCAAT